TGATATATATGATATTTTATCCATTTTTACTAAATTTTTAATAGGGTTTTAATAAAAAAATGAATGAATTTTGGAATTTATATGCTACTTTTAGAATTCTCGTGGGTTTTGAAGTCTATACAGGAAATTGGAGCATTTTGGGCCTAAAAGGAGGGAAATCAAACCTTTTCAAGAAAGGACAGATCTGGACCGTTAGATGTTTCGCTCCATATGAAGATGTTTTCATTGTAATATTAGGTTCATATATTACCATGAGATAGAGGAGGATCTCTGCTTCAAAATGAATATTTGATCGACACAATCCGACGGTTAGATCTTGAGATATCATTGATCTACTGAAATCTATTTGAGTAAGGAGTAAGTTAAAGACGGTTCAAGCATATTCATCCATGATCGACCGAACGCCAGGAGTAATCAACAGATGCAGAGCCTCTGGTCTTGACGCATAGACTATTTTACAAGGTGATCGATAGAACACCTTAGTAATCGACCGATAACCTCATCCGAAGAAATTGGGAATTTTTTATTTTTCGACGCTATCTCCTAAGCTTCAAGGGTTTTTAACATAAATACGACTTGTTTCCTGTAAAAAGAGAGCAGGAGCCACGACAGTTCAGCACACCATCATCATCTACCTTCAAAGCTTAAAGTTATTCACAAAGTTCTAAAGGCATTCATCTCTTTCATTGTTTCTTTCTATTGCTTGTTTCGATTAAGGGAGAAGGATCTCACCTCTTTGTAACCCATAAAAAAGTTTACTCAAACCCTTTACTCCTTTTTTTTTAATGATTATGAGTTTATCTATTGCTTTTTCTTTGGTTTACTTTGTCATGTCTGAGTAGTTTATTTGTTGGGTTTTAAGGGTATGTATTCGAGGGATTTCATGGTTCGATAGATATGTTTTGTAATTAGGGTGGAGATTTTGATAGATTAACAATATTCCTTCATCTAGATCTATTCTTACGGCATGTTCCTAGGATTGATCACTTTGAAACTGATCTTAGACGAAGTATTGTGTGCTAACCGTTCCATTGCCATGAATATGGTGTTTAATGAGTTTGATTCTCTAGGTTGCGAAAGTTAACTTATTGAGTTAGATGAGCAATTGAGTTTATCTACAATTGCATTAGAATAAATCCTTATCGCTACGAGAGTATGATGATAGGATGAATTCAAATTAGAAGTTAATGCTGTGAGAGTATACTTAACTTATTATATGTTCATGTTCTAGGAAGACGTAAAATTGAATAGATTGCTCCTAGAAGTTTGCCTGAATAATTCGAACTGTGAATCTCTTAGAACCCCTTAAAACCCAACGTTTTCCTCTTATTGTTTACACCGATTTTACATTTACTCGATTTCTGAAAACTACAAAATCCTGTTTAACTTAGCGTAATTCCTTGATTGATATTATTTATGTGTGCTTTAAATCTATGTGGATTTGATCCCTAAGTACTATGACTGATTGGTTGTGCACTTGCAGTCTAGGTTGTTCGTTTGGAGTACAACTTAATTCTTACCCTATCACT